TGCAAGGACATGAGTCAACAACTGGGATGAACTTGGAAGCGCATCCTTCCCCAGTCAGATTTCCAGATAAGAACACAGCCCAGGCAGCACCTCAGTTGTAGCCTCGTGAGACCCTGGGCGGAGGACCCAGATAAGCCATGCTCCTATGCTAACCCCCAGAACTTCAGGCAATAAATGTATATAGTTTTAAGCTGCTAAGTTTATGATTTGTTATACAATGGCAGAAGAGTATCTACCGTCTTTGATCCCTTTGTCATTTGCAAGGGATTTTTTTTCAACCGTTGACACCTTGTCTTCACTCCCCCCTACTACATGCCATTGCTTAGCAGAATGGTCTTAATATTAGAAAAAATGAAAAGATTGGCTATGAAGTCTACTAACTTTCTTCTCAGTCACCCCCAAACTTGTTTAAGTGTTTCCCCCATCCCTCCCTCTTTTTCTCTATCCCTGGCCCATCTTCTCCACTCATAACTGGATTGGGTCTTCCCAGGTCATGCAAAGACCTTCTTCCATCCCCCTCTCCTTATCGATTTCATCGTGACCTCTCTACCTGCTTCTTCCTCTCCTCCTCTCTACACAGCTCCTTCTCTCTTTCTATTAAACAACTAAACAGCAAACAGAGAGCAATTTAAAAAAACCAATTTCCCTTGACCTTGCTGTTCTCTCAAGGTGTAGTTCTTACTTTCTCATTCTCTTTACTACAAAGTGCTACAAAAAAGTAGACTCCATGTGCCTGAAACATTTTATCCCTCACATGCTGTAACTTGCCTCTTATCCCCACTGCTTCACTGAGGAAGCTCTGGGTAAGGGCCACCATAGGCTTCTAGATGCCAAATTTCTCTTCTCAGTCCTTACCCTGGGTGAGTGTCATTGGACACTGCCAACCACTGTCTTCTTGAACACTCCCCTGGCTCATGTGAGACTGTTCCCCGGGGGTGTCCCCAGTGTATCTGTGGGTTTCTTTTCAGTTTCCTTCGTGGTTTTACCTTCTACTGTCCTGTAATCTTTGGGGATGAAAAAGTTTTTTTGTAATTAATGAAGAAACCCTCGCTCCTAAGTTTTATCTATTGCATTTCTCTGGTATAGTCAATCCCTCTGGGAATTTTTATAGGCGATTCATCAATTCTTAATTATCTACTCTAAATCTTCTGGGGTTATTAAGAGATTTTCTCCATAATATATTGCCTAATTTGTGTCTTCTGCTAATAGGAAGCTATGTTAAATAGAATTAGAAAAATATTGCAAATTATTCCTCGCATTTTTCTGGTTTCACAAGGCAAGGAGGAGGAACTTGCTGGAGGCAGAGAAGGAGAAGGGCCATGTGTGGAAATGGAGTAGAAAAGTGGATTACATGGACATTGCTGATGGATCGCTTATGTTTAATGGTGCCATTTTATTCAACTCTCCTATTTTTTTATAAAATTTTAAAATTTTTAAATAAAATTTTATGATATAGTTTCAAGGATAATTTGCTTAATGTTTTCATACTTAGTAATTATATAAATTTAACCCAAGCAGTTAGGCCTCTACAATTTTCCCAACTAATCTGAGTTTATTAATAAGTAAACATTTACTGATCACTTACTATGCCTATGCCACAATCATGTGGGTAGACATCGTTACTTCCAAGTTATAAATGAAGAAATAGATCCAAGGAGCTCTGAGCCCGTTGGCTGAGACAGGGTTCCAATGCAGATGTAAATCTTATGGTAGAGACACTCCTGCTCTGCATTTGCTCCTCCGTCTCCTCTCACTAGTTATGGCAGAAGCTTGCATTACCCAGCATTCCTGAGGAGAGCTATCCCAGGAGCCGAGTTCTGGCCAAAGCAATGTGCATGCAGTCATGTAAGACCTTCACGGATGACCTTGAAGCATCCCTCGGGACTTCCAGTCCTGTTTCCACCTTATGCCGTGACATGATGAGCTGCAAAGCCAAGATGGAGCAGCCTGGACCACCGAGCCACCACACGGAGGAGAGAGAACGGGGGAGCTTTCCACGCCTCACTGAACTTTGCATACTAGAGATACAGATTTTTATTGTGTTAGTTGGCTGAGATTTCTGCTGCGGCATCTAGCACCGCTCGCTTTGAGAAATTGCTGTGGGATTGGGGTAATGTTAGAATCAATGTTTGCTTAGCAGTCAAACAGCAGCTACTGAGGAAGTGGATAGTGTTTCCTCTTTTTGGTAAGGTGACATTTGAGCAGAGACCCAGATGACGTGAGGACTTGAGCCATGCACATATCAGGGGGAAGAGAGGATGGGAAGTAGGAATGTGCTCTCAGGGACAGGGAACTATCAAGGAGGCCACGTGACCGAGGCAGGGAGAGCAATGGCGGAAGAATGGTGAGGGATGAAAGCAGGTGGAACTGATCATGTGGGAGCTTTGAGTCCATGATAATAACTTTGGATTCATGGAAGGTGATATCTCAAATGACCTGAGACAAAATCACCGTGACTGCTCTGGAGAAGTGTGTCCCATGACTCAAAACCTGACTCTAGTGATGACAAAGATCCCATTGCCAAAGATGTACTGGGAGACCTTGAGCTAAATTATTTAAAAAATTATCTGTCATTTTATATGAGATCTTAAAGGTATACATGCAACTAAATTTATGAATTAAATATTGAAACTATATATTTGAATATATCATCTACCTCTCTAATATATACTCACATTTATTTATAAAATACACATTATAATATCTATCGATCGCTACATTATAACATATATTATGACATATAATGTAGATTATGCATTTATTTCATAGCTCATTATGAAAATGGGAAGTTGCACGCCTGGGTGGCTCAGTCGGTTAAGCATCCGACTTTGGCTCAGGTCATGATCTCACAGTTCGTGGGTTCGAGCCCTGTGTCGGGCTCTGTGCTGACAGCTAGCTTAGAGCCTGGAGCCTGTCTTCAGATTCTGTGTCTCCCTCTCTCTCTGAACCTCCCCTGCTCATTCTGTCTCTTTCTCTCTCTCAAAAAAAATAAATAAAATATTAAAAAAATATTTAAAAAACTGAGAAGTTGCCTTTTATGAATGTTGTCTTCTATTCGGGGACATACACTTCTTAGGTATTTACATCAGTGTGTCTTAGGTACTTACACAAAGCTGAAAGTGAACAATCTTGGGTTTTAAGCAACTGAGTAATATACAACCAAGAAGCCACAGAACTTTGGATGTGTTAGAAACACATGAAATGAACTCCAATGCTCTTATTTTATAGACAAGGAAATGGAAATCCAACCAAAGAAGTTAGACAGCTTTCTGAAATCACATACCAGGCTAGGTTGGTTTGCTCCAGAACCGTGATTTGGGGTCTGCCGTTCTCTCTGCATGGGGCTCCCTCCCCAGGGATGTCCAGTGATGCAGGCAAAGATGTAAGAGTCACCTGTGCTGGCACTTCCAGCCAGCTTAGCTCCACTCCCAGGCTGTGCAGATGTGCTTATTCCTCTTACAGGCGCATCTGCCGTCAATGGCTGCTTCCGTCATAGGTGTAGCTTCTGCTAATTGGGCACCTACTATGTGCAGGAGCTGGAGTCTCCCTCTAGAGCCTGTGCTCCTCTAACCAATGTGCTTACTGCCCTCTCCCTGCCTGGCACAGGCACTCAACAAATGGTGGCTGGTAGTTTTGAGGTTATGTGGAGCGCAAGACGACTTGAGCGTGAGCAAGTGTGTGAGCGTAACTCAAAGCCAGCCTTTTATTCTTGGAAGTTAAGCCTCCTGGAAGGAGTCTGAGGTATCGTTCCCATCAGCACCCACATGAGCCACGCCGTCCTCTCTGCGTCATCTTGCCCAGCAGCGAGCTGGCCCTTCTCGACAATGCTGCGTTGTCTGTCGTTATCAGCTGACCGCCCAGGGAACCCTGCAGCCTCCCTGACTCCAGGCTTATCTCCGAACAGGACACCCCCCTCTGCACATCATCGCGCTGCCTGTAATGCCAGCCCCGCTCCTCAGTCGGGCTCTATTCATCTGTGACCTGAGGCAGTAGCAGAGGAGGGACAGGCCAGCTGCTCCCTTTCCACCTGAGCGACTGCGATATGAAGCCCTGCTTTGGAACACTGAGCCGCCTTGAGGCTCGCCGCGCTCCCAGGCACCCGCACCCCTGCATGAAAGGCCCTTCTTGTTCTGGGGTGTGCGGCCAGCTCTGAGATAGCCCCCGAGGTGCTTTTCATGTGGTCGCATCCAGGCACCCCCGGCTGCATTTTAATAGCCGAGTTAAAGGTAACTTGATAGGCAGATATGCCCGGAGCCTAGACTGGGGCCTATATTCATTTATCCCTACTTTTTAAAAGAAAATCGCTGCTATTGCTAATTTCCCCTGCTTTCTTAAAGATCTCAATGTGCAGGTTAGCAAGCAGCTGGATTTATTCTGTAGTAAGCAAGAAACAAAAACTCCTGAGATATCATTTGGTCCATCTTCATCATACCCACCTATGGCTTCACTGTCGATCTGATAAGACGTGGGGTGCAGATCACAGGATCTGTGGTTATCTTCTCATTGTGCTGCCCCTGCCCTCTGCCATGCTCTATCGACTCCTAGAAACAGGGCTAAATGAGGAATTCCTGAACCCCTTAATAAGACAGAAGGATACTGTAGGCTCTGTCGAATTTTTATTTTACTCTGGGTATCGGTGTTGCCAGTGGGAAATGGGTCTTACAGAAAAACCCTTGCTGGGAGACCTTGGTAGGGTCACATGCCCTTCTGATATTTCATCTTCTAATCTGCAAGTGGAAAGGTCTCTGCACGCTGGGGCTGGAGATCAGCTTTCGGGAAGAGGCATTATCCTCAGATTCAGGTCCCTAGGGCCACTCACCATCTTGGTCTGCCTGGGACTGAGGGATGTTCTGGAGAGCTAACACCTGCAAAGTACCGGGCAAGTGTGGACAGCTGGTCACCTTTTCATGAACAACGTCCCCCCACCTTTCTAAACACTTTGATTAGTAAAATCCGCAGGGCTTGTGTCACATTTGTGTTTTTATTCGTAAAAACCCGTGCTTGGTTAGTGATGACTGTCTGTCTCAGTCTGCAGGACACTTTCAGGAGAGATGGTGGTGGCCATTGTAAGAAGAGGCTGGAACTGTGGCCTCCGGCGGTTGTGGCCAGTCCTCACGGGGCCCAGGAAGTGAGTCAGGCCTGACTGTCCAGGGTCTAGGGCACCAAGTCTGTAAGAAGAGCGATTTCATTCAAAACGCCAGTAGGACCCTACCCGGGAGCAGTGGACCCAGCCAAGCTCCTTCCCCCAACCCAGTTTTGCTGCTTGATTGGCTGGTGGTGCAGCCCCTTGTCAGATGCAGCCGTTCCTGGGAGTGGCGAGGAGGCCACTCTCTAAAGAGAAGGGAAGTGGTACCTCTACATTTATTTAATCCTTTCATTTATTTTTAGGAAATATTTACTGAGGGGTTACTATGTGCTCTGGGGACAAAGTGGGGACTAAGACATGATTGTGTCCTCAGGATGCTTATGGTCTAACAAGGAATGCAGCACCAAAAAGCTGAGGATTGTGGGAGGAAAGGAATGCAGGGTGACGGGAGTCAGAGGCAGGCACCTCCTCTCATCCAGGGACAGCTAACAGAGGGCAGTGTCCCCCCTTCCGAGCCCAGCCCTGTGAGCCTTCCCGCTGCACCTGCAACCTGTGACTGCTGGGTATCCCTTAAACGGGCAACTGCTTAGGCTAACTTGTGATGATCCTCTTATCTTCAAAGGCTTCACAATCCGGGGCATTTTTCCAACACGGAAAATGCTTCTTAACACCCACCACATGTGGTAGCAATAACCTCCACTTTCTGTGCACATTTGAAAATTGACAGATCTCTGGATAATTACCACATCATTCGGTAAACGAGTATTTCCAACCAGTCTCGGAGGAGTAACTCAATGCCGACTCCTCGTCATAGCCCCGAAGCCCTCCCCAGCTGAGCCAGGGACAGACTGCGGCCACCATCACGCCTGCCACGATGCAGCCACAGTGTGGGGAGGGGAGAGTTTGACTCGGAGGGCCACTGCTGCTTGTCCCTGCAGATGACCGTTCCCTCCCTGGAGGGGAGCACCTTTATCAGCAAGGGCCCACCGGCTGCATCGGGCCCAGGTGGACTGCCTCAGGGGGTGGTGACGGCCACAGCATTGGGAGAGCACTCTACCTCTGCCTCCAGCACAGTATGACCGGAAGTGGGGGGGATGTTGGAGTCAGCTGGAGTCTAGCCCCCCCAGAGGAGAGATTTTAGGCATGCCCTTGACCTTCTCTGAGTTCCCGATCTCCTGAATCTGAAAACAGGAAACAAAACCTACATCGCAGGTTATTGTGAGGATTAATTTATGCCAGTCGAAGGTCCAGAGAGTAGTATTTCAGGCTTTGTAATCTCTGTGGTCTCTACGGGCCATAGATGCCATGGAAACAAATGCTTGCATTCCAATAAAACTTTATTTACAAAAACAGGTGGCAGGCTGGATTTGGCGTGTGGGCTGTACCACTGATCTCGAGCATCTAGATCAAAATGTGGCACATGGTGGGCACTACGTAGAAGCTATTATTACCATCACCCCTGTACTTCCAGCTGGGTGGCTGGATGGCCCTGGGCAACCATAGTGCATTGGTGGGATCGCCTGACTCAAGCAAGTCAAATATATGATAACAAGAATAAAAAATAATGTAGTAAGGAAACAATCAATCCTTTAGAAAGGCCTTCTCGGGGCCACTCCCCTAAGCACATTCTGCACATTCATTCTTTCATTTGAGCCTGGGGCACATTTTATTATTATCCCCATTTTGCAGATAAAAAAAACTGAGACAAAAAGATCTCAGTGACTTGCTCAAAGCATCAGCTAGAATTCATACCGAGACGATATGGCTTCAGAACCCAGATAACGTCTCTCATCACTTGGAAAACACTAGAGCGTGATACTTTTTCCTATGATTTTGTAATTTGCATCTTTGCCCCTCCCTCAAGCGTGCTGCTTTCCTGGGGATTCAGGCACTCTGGCTTTGCTTGGCTTGGACCTCTGACCTCAGCTGGGGTGGATTCTTCTCCAAGGGTGCCTCACTCCCCGCCCCAGGCTCTAATTGCTGGCCAACGTGGGAGATGTTGGGTCGCAGCTAATTGCACGGAGCACTGGGGTAGCTCTCATTTACTGGTGCTAATGAAGTGACTTCAGTGCTGGTGGTGCTGTTACCTCGCCGACTGCTTTCGCTCTGCCCATTAACAGCGGAATTACCGAGCCTGGAAAAGGTCTGCTGGGAGAGAAGTAACTCTGACTCGGGTGGGGTGGTTATTTCATTTTTACTATATATTACGTCCCTTAAAACAAACAACCCATAGACATCATTTCATTTTGGAAACCTCCTTACCAATCCCCAAATCCAAAATCTGGCAGATTTTGGTGATGGCAAAAGTTCCAGCGAAACGTTAATTTCTCAGGCATTTCTTGCCATGTTTCCACTGCTGGGTGTATCCCCCTCTGCCTTTAGAGCACTCCATCCCTTTGAACTCGCCTCCAGCACCTAGGATGTGTGTGTGGATCTGAGAAACCCCGGAATTGGCTTCGCTCCCTCCCAGGCAGCTTCACAATAGCAAATTAAATCAGAAAAAACAAAACAGTCGGTTTCTTGTTGGAGACATGTAACATGGGCCCCAGTAAAGAAGAAACAGCCGTGCCCCCTCATTGGGCAGCCGGCTGAGCGGGGTGATCTAATGGGTCTTTTCCACGTTTGACCCATGATTCATACTATATAGAAGGGGGTGGCTCTCCAGTGAGCCAGGCCAGGGGCTATCCGGGGAGAGCAAACCGTGCTTTATTTCTATTTTATTCCTATCTTTATGGGCTGGGGTCCTTGGGCTCTAAACATTCTTTTGTTGAGCATGTGGGGAGAGATTATTTTTCCGTGCACGGCAGGCATTCTCTCTGAGGCCACACAGTCTGCTGTTTCAGAAACCAACGCTGGGCAGGATGCCTCTGCCGGGTTTATTTGGAAATGTCGGCATCCTCGGGGCCACTTACTGATCAGAGGTGGAGAAAGCAGCTAGCCAAAGCCAGGTGGCACCCCCGCACGCCCACGTCACCAGGTGCAGCGAGGCAGGGAGGGGAGACACAGAGTCAAGGTTTATGGGAGCAGATCAATCTGGGGAGGGGGAGAGGGGAATGCTCTGGATAAAAATAGCATGCGAGTGAACTCCTGCCCCCCACTCCTTAATGATCTCTCTGCTGACTAGTGTTTGGCTCTCGGAGGAGCAGCGGGTGCCGAGACTCTTACTCAACTCGAGAGAGATGGCAGGAGTCCGGCTGCCAGGTGGGCTTTCCAAGCCCGCGCGGCTCTAAACTTCTCCACATGTGAACAAGTGTTTACAGTTTTAAAGATGTGTTGAGTAATTGCACATGCGAGATATCTCCCCCTTTAATGCACCCAGCATGTTCCCAGGCTTTCCAGAGAACACCCTGGTTGACAATGAAATTGTTTGCCTTCCCTGCGTCGGGCTTAAGGAGGCACTGGCTTGTGTTGAAATGTAATTGGTAGCACTCCTGCCTTTTGAGGTTCTGTTTTAGCTACTGAAAATTACTGCCTTAATCCACTCTTTACTTACCCGGGTTTGGGTTAGAAGCCCCATGGAACCCCCTTCACGTCACAGCCCAGAGTGGCAGCTCTTAAAACTTAACGCTGAGGCTTGCTTCGGATTCTGTGTCTCCCTCTCTCACTGTCCCTCCCCGGCTCGCGTTCTGTCTCTCTCTGAAAAACAAAGAAATAAAAACCTTATTTTGAGGCTCACGCAGTATCTCAAAATGCTGGTTAAAAACAACAACAACAAACAAACCAAAAAAGAAAAAAAAAATAACATCCAGTTCACTTTCAGGCTCCCTCAATTTTCAAGACTTCTGAATCCCTTGGGAATAATACAATAATTGGTCTTACGCTACTGAAAAGTCATTGAAAACCCTCCTGATTTTACGGAGGGGTTTCCGATTCTCCTCTCCTCTTTCTGTTAATTACTCCTCGCCCTATTTATTTTCATGGGAAAATAGCCGGTGTCACCTCAGGGAGAGAATGTATTCTGTTGGGCTTGTTATTTTTTATAGTGTTCTTTGTCTTCTCTCTGGCTTCCAGCAAAACCCAGCCAGAACGGCTTGGCAGATCACTTTGCATTAGTAAAACTCTGTGTCAGCCACAACTGAGGTCCGGAGCAAAGGACTAACGTCAGCTCAGCTCGAAAGTTGGAGAAATGTACCGAACCTTACAACGGTCTCCCAGCAGCCTTCTGATGGGAATCCAGGGGCAAACAGGTCCAGAGGGAGGAACAGCACCCTCCCTCCCTGTGTCACCCGCCTACTGGCCCCCCACTGCCCTAAGATCTCGCCATCTCAGCTGAGCAAATCATGGAGCCTCATGACCTGGCTGGTGCCTATCGATTAACGTCGGGATTACGTTTTTCCAACTGGAAAATCTTTTGACTACTGTTTTGCAAATTTCCCAGCTGAGCACTTTGGCCTCTGAGATGAGTCTCTGAGAAGCAGGGCCCCGTGGGACTGTATCCTTCTGCCTAGTTGGGTAGCTCTGTCCCTGCTCCACACACCCCTGCCTACGCTGCTTCCTCTCTTCCCCCCAGCCCTTCCATGGCCAGGCGGATCCTCACTCGAGAGAGGGGTGCCTGTTTGGAGAACAGACCTTCCAATTTCTCAGGTCTTTCAACATCTGAGCCTGAGCCTCTGCTTTGCTGGAATCAGACACTAATGACATGTCAGTTAGAAGAAAAATCTTGTTCACACTCCTTTTCCACGCGATCTCCCCGCCTCCCCTCTACCTGAGCCAAGGGTAGGGCAGCCTACTGCTGAGCCCTCTTAGGATGGTCTGGTGGAGAGGCACCTGGAGACCCCAGGCTTCTCTTCCCCCCACACCCCTCTCCGCAGCTGTAGCGGCCAAAGCGGGGCGTTTATCATTCTAGGGTAGTTATTTGTTTCTTTGCCATTTTGAGAGGTGGGTCCTCGAGAGTAGTTTCCATGGTTGCTCAGTTTTACGCGACTCTCAGCAGAAGAGCTGGCGCAGAGCAGGTGCTCGGTAAACATCGTTTGCATGAATCCTATATTCTCTCTGGACTTGTGCCTATTTCCGAGATTGGTATTAATCCCAGAATCGGCACTGAAGATAAAATTTCTCCAAAAGGACCAGGCTGGGAATGGGAAGCTGAAATCTAGATATGGCCTTTGGAGGGTCTGGGGCCAGGCAGCAGAGGGTCAGCCCTGGAGAGCTCCGGTGTAGAGAGCGGCGGTCCACGGGCAGTCCTGGGAGACCCAGACAGGGTAGAATTGTCTGGGCATCATTCATTCCAGCACACAAGGAGTGTCTAGGGGAGAGGACTGGGCACTAGGGGGGGTCCTGTGGATCCAACAAAGAGCAAAATAGAGGCCAGCACTGTCCTCATGGTACATACTGTTTACCGAGGAAGACAGACGAGAATATGTACAGTGAATAACTCTGAGAAGTGCTAGGAAGGAACCGCCCCCCCCACCCCCAACTGGAGTAAAGAGCAGACCCTAATGCAGGGGTCCAGGCCAGGGCTTTGGCTCAGAGTGTCAGAGAGCCCTTGTGGGATCATGAGCGGGGACAAGGCAGGGATGGAGTCCCAAGGGAGGCTGAGTATTGAACCCAGATATCCAGGTTGGAGCTCCTTAAACGTACCCTTCGTCGAGTCCGGATTGATTCTGAAGGAGACAGGGCTGACCTTAAAGTTCAAGCCAAGTTCATTCATTTGTTCATTCATCAGACATTTATGGCATGTCTACCGCATGACTGACGCTGTTACAGTTAGCCGGCAAAATCAGACAGTTCCTGCTCTTACAGAGCTTGTGGTCTGACGAAGAAAACAAGCAACTTGTAATTAGACCAATTTATCTGATTATAGACTATTATTGGAAGTGCTATGAAGGAAAGAAACAGAAGCCTGGTAGAGTGACCAAGGGGTCTAACTAACTTAAAGTGCCTTCCAGGGAGGTCTCTCTGAGGATTTGATATCTGCCTAAAGGAACTGGCCTGGTGAAAAGTGTGCATAGTTGAACCTTCTGTGTAAACAACACATGCAAAGGCCCTGTGGTCTGCAAAACGATGACTCCCCTCAGATGTTCACACCCTAATTTCCAGAACCTGTGACTATCTTACCCAACATGTCAAAAGGGACTTTGCAGATTTAGGTTATTGACCTTGAGATGGGGAAATAGGCTGAAGAGCCAGGGAGTCTTGATTTAATCATAAGAATTCTTAAAGGCAGAGACACTGTCACAGCCACAGAGAAAGACTTGACGATAGAAGAAAGGTCAAGGAGGTGCAGTGTTTCAAGATGCAGGAGGGGCCATAAGCTGAGGGAGGCAGGTAGCTTCCAGAAGTTTGAGGGGCAAGGAAACTGATTCTTCCCAGAACCTCCAGAAAGCAACATAGTCCAGCTGAATGTGGACTTTCAGCCCAGTGAGACCTGTGTGGGGCGTCTGACTCCAGAACTCTACGGTAATACATTTGTGGGGTTTTTTTTCTTAAGTTTATTTATTTATTTTGAGAGAAAACAAGTGCAAGCAGAGAAGGGGCAGAGAGAGAGAGAGAGAGAGAGAAATTCCAAGCAGGCACTGTCAGCGTGGAGCCATGGGGCTTGATCCTACAAACTGTGAAATCATGACCTGATCAGAAATCAAGAGTCGGATGCTTAACTGACTGAGCCAGCCAGGTGCCCCCCATCTGTGTGGTTTTAAGTTAGCCTGTAGGACACTCATACACTGCAGAGACCAACAGGGGACCGGTGTGGCCAGAACCGTGTGTGTGAGACACACACAAACCATTTAAGTAATTTAAGCAGGGAAGGGCGGACACAATGATGTGATTTGCATTTTGCGATTTCACTTGCGTGTTAGGTGGAGAAAGTGTTAAAGGGCAGGTGTTGGTGTGGGGGGGCAGGGAGACTAGTTAGAGGCTATTTGAGCAGCCCTCACGGAAGCCGGTGGGAGCTCAGACTCGAGGGATTGTAGAGAAGAGGGGAAGTCATGGATGCACTGGCCAGTTCTCTGGAGGCAGAATTAATCACACAGGATGGTGGACTGGATTGAGAGAGCAAGAGAGGAGGGGGGCCGGGGATGACCCCAGGTTTCTGGCTTGCACAGAGGCTTGGAGCAGAGGCCGAGGGAAGCTGGGAAGGAGGCACCCCCAGCCACAGCACAGATGGCCCCACCTACCATCAGCAAAGCCGATCATAGGGGAGTATCTGTCATCTCAGAAGTTGACAGAAAATCCTCCGAAAGGCAAGGAGAATGTCTGTTATCAAGCCCATTGGTTGAGACTCTTTTGGAAGACGCAAGTGCTAAAAAAACCACGTCTTAAGCCTGAAAAGAATTTGCTTATTTTTAAGCTGAAAAATCAGAGGGTTACACGTGACTTAATCATAGCTGGATTCAGGGTTCCACTTCCTGGCCTCACTTCCTCCACCCGTACCTGCCAGCAGCCCCCCACCCAGCAGAGGAAAGCAAGTGTCCTTGCCCTGAAGTGACCAGAAAAACTATTCAGACGATTCCAAATGGACCAGCCTAAATCTCTGTCCCCCGTCCTCTCACTAGGAAAGCCATGGGACAGTGAAAGGGAAGGAGCTGAATGGCTGGCTTGGGTCCTGAGTTCCGCTCCTTAGCTGTGGTTCGAGAGAGGGGGGGAGTGTAGGTGTAAATACAAGTCAAGGATGCTACCAGAAAAGGGGCGGATCGGCCCAGAGCAGCTGACCCCAGCCCCACCCTATCCAAATATCCACAATCCCTGTGTAAATACTGATTCATAGCAAAAATGTGAGTAGCCCCCAAACATAGGACTTATTAACTGAGAACTGCTTGTAAAACAGAGCCCTGAGTTGCCGGGATTGATTATTCCTTCCCGGGCTGTTGCTATCCACATTCACAACAGGCATAACAGAAATATTAGGTTAGAGGAATCGGGAAAACTGGATGTGAAATAACAAGTGACAGGGTCGCCTGGGTGGCTCAGGCAGTTGAGCGTCTAATTCTTTTTTTAAATTTTTTTAAAGTGTTTTATTTATTTTTGAGAGAGAGAGACAGCATGGGCAGGGGAGGGTCAGAGAGAGAGAGAGAGGGAGACACAGAATCCAAAGACAGGCTCTAGGCTCTGAGCTGTCAGCATAGAGCCCGAGGCAGGGCTCGAACTCATGAAATGTGAGATCATGACATGAGCCGAAGTTGGACACTTAACTGACTGAGCCACCCAGGCGGCCTATAATTCTCGATTTCAGCTCAGGTCGTGATCTCATAGTTCAGGGGTTCAGGCTCCAAGCTGACAAGTGTGAAGCCTGCTTGAGATTCTCTCTCTCTCTCCCCCCTCTCTCTCTGCCCCTCCCCTTCTCTCTCTGTCTCTCAAAATAAACAAACTTGAAAAAAAAAGTGTGTTCACGGAGTGTAGAAGCAGCAGAATATTCTGCAGGTATCACTGGGCTTGTCATCATGAGTGTTGGCCGCATCTCTTAGGAAGGGTCACCGGCCCTGTGGCCCCTTCCCTTGTTGCCGAAGAGCAGTGTTCCAGTGGATTGGGGTCCAGCCTCCCCCAGGCACATTGTCCCTTGAGCTTATGTGGCAACATCCAACCCCCACCCCCTTTTAGGGAAGGCATGCAGAGGGCTGCATGGTTTGAGCAGACATTGTTTGAGGGGCTAAAAAATCACAGCGGGATCCATC